ATGGATATTTTGCCTTTTAACCCTTTAGCTCCCCCCAAAGTCTTGTCAATCAACTCCTTCTTTGCTGTCCAGTGGTGGAGATCACTTTCTTACATCTTGATTGGAGGTCAGGTGTTGCCATAGTAACAAGCCGACCTTCCCAAATGCCCTGACTACCCAGGCCATGCTGTGATAACAGTGCAAGGATGAGGGTAAAACCTAACTATAAATTTATAAAGCTTCTCTTAAAATATACATAATATTTGCCTTGTAATTGTGAGAGTCAGCCATTGCATTACTCATCTATCACACTCAGGACACCCTGTCAGCATCTGCTTGGCAGATAGAGCATGTGCGCAAGAGAGGGGGGCCAAACGAGCTGAACCTCCAGGTGAGACCCCACTCCTTCCAAGAAACCAAAAAAAAAAAAAAAAAGTCAGGGCTAATTATGTCACAGTTAAATGCTTTTTTGGGCTAAGACTCCTCCCATAGCCCGATTTCCCGGGCATTTTTTCCCAGGCATCTGGGGGCCTGTCTCACCACAAGGAGGGTGTCAGTCAGTCGGTCACTTGCTTGTGGCCTGTTCGTGGAAGCTTTCTCTGCTCTGAGAAGACAAAGTCCCCTCAGAGATAGGGCTTCCCACCATTTTCCAAAGCGGTTGCCTGTTTAGAGACTGTAATGTTGGTGGTCTCTTTCCCCCTCACGTGTCCCAGCTGCCTCTTGCATAAGGCTCCCCGCATGTGTACAGCCCCTTTAGTATTTTTCACCCTGATGCCTTGAGAAGGCTGACCTAGAACAGAAACTAGACAGAGTTAAAGAATAAAGTAGGTATTTACTAGGATGCTTCAATAGATCCACCTTGGGCAGCACAAGAGCCCAGCCAGGGCTACAACCCAGGTGAACCCAAAATGGTCATGAAAATGGACAACTGGTCACGGGATCTCACACTTCCAAAAGTTTTGGTCCATTAGCTTATTGGAGTTAATTGTCCAATTACAGCTCCAGCCCATGAAGCTCCATCCTTCTTGTTTTTCTCTCTTCATTTTGTGATAAATGGAGGTGATTCATGCTAACAAAATTGTAATTATATAAATATTTGGGGAAAATAATTGGAAAAGTATATGTGATTAGTGAAGCAGATGGGTTTCTTTGTAGATAATACATGTGGGAAACAGGATACAGGAGATCAGAATTGGTCTTGATGAACAAAACTTAGGAAGACTCCCAAGTCAAAATTGGCATGTGTAAAACAACTCCCGGGACAGGATCAGCCTTGACATGAATGAAGTTGGGACAATTCCAGACATGAAGTCTAAAATAATGGTCTTATGTATGAAATAATAAGGCTAAATGGAACATAGTGCTTACTTACATAACACAAGACTTGGGGCGCATGCACAGCTTGCCAGGTTATTCAGAGGACAGCGAGGAAGACAGTGAGCCTTCCTCCAAAGAGACCACCAAAGAGCCAGAAGACCCCTTAGCAACAGCGGGAGCATGCGCTATAGTGACATAAATTTCAATAATTGGAAATAGGAGATTTATGGGGAAGTATTAGTGAATATGTATTAGCATACAGTATATAAGTTGTGTTTGGATCCTTTTGTCTTTTGTACGTGAGGCAGGATGGGAAGCCCTCCCCGTATCCCAATTGATCGGTTTTTTGCTTATGCTTTATCCAAACCACTACCAAATTTCTTTCTGTAACTACTGGATTATATTTGATTGTATTATTTTATCTCAGTTAAAACTGCTGCTAAATTTTAAGTTTGTGGTTTATTAAATTAGACATATGGGACTTCATTTATAACAATTTCACCATTGTTTATGCTCTTGGGCCTGAGATCTGGACTGGCTGTCCTGGGTCCCCAAGAGAGCTTGGTCTTCACAGAGAGCTTACTATCCCCTTATATGAAGCCCAGACCCATACACTAAAGCAGCACAGAATTTGAAAAATATAAAAGCTAAAACCTGAGGCATCAACCCCATGTCATAAAATGGATTTATAACATATATTGAGGCATAAATAAAGATTAAATTGGTTTCTCTCAGTAAACCACAAGTAAACCATGCTGTTTCAACACACTGTTTAATTACCTGTAGTTCAAGCAAGTAGCAGAAATAACTCCAGCATAGAAACCTACAGTTTTAGCCCTTTTCCCCCGCCAATAAAACTGGAGAAGACAAAATCTCCTGCACCATCCCAAATAAAGGAATAACGCCCAGGATGCAGGAGAATCCAATGACCCATGGTGATGCTTGATGCCTATTGCTTGGGAATGGAATTAACTTCCATCATCCTGCACAGCCTCCATTTTCTGCAGCAGGTGAGCAGAGCAAGAAAAGCACAACCAAGTAATGCCTTTCCGAAGAACAGAATTATCTGTGTCACAGCAGGGGTGGCACTCCATGGAAATGTGCCAACCCATGGACAACACGCAAAGTGAGCTGCATTGTCCTTTCACATAAAATTCCTTCTGTCCCTGTTTGTCCCCTCACCCTCCATGTGCCTCTGTCTTTTCAGCTCTCCTCTCCCTCTTTCCTAAACACCCACAGGGAGAAAACAGCACCTACAGTAGGTAATTGCAGCCACAAAAGTGCCATAGAGCTGCATCATGTATTTCCTTATATGATGCCAAACACTACAAGTAATCATTTTAGCCACTGATTTCCTCATTCATTACTCAGCTGGAACTGTGTGTTCCTCCCACCTGCCTGGTAAAGCAGAAGTTGGGGGGCTAATTGGCTCAAAAATTTTGACAGAAAAAGCCCGCCAGGTGAGGAAAAGAATCACAGCACATTCTTTGCTGGGTTGGAATTCTTTGGGTTTTTGTCTTTGTTTTGGGTTTCTTGTGGTTTTTTTTTTCTTTTCCAGAAAAACAGATTAAAAAAGTAGTAGCACAAAATCAAAGCCTGTTGCAGAGATATAAGAAATTTTGATTAAAGTATTTCACTCTTGGATTTCCTAAGTGCTGAGTACAAGCTTGCAGTTTGAATTATGCTTTTTTAGCAATTGTCTTATGTTTTGAAGAAGTAAATGAAAATAAAATTGAAATGCTGTACCTATAGCAACACAGGCAAAAAGTAAACCTGAAATTGTGAGATGGACTTCATCATCTCCAGAATTTTCAGCTTTGTGAACAGCTGCCAGCAGCAACAGGCTGTCACCCTTCAGAGAGGTGAACTAGAGGGACTAATGGGCACTAGAGGGAGGTGAAAATCCTTGACAGCTGTTTTCACAGATGGTTGCTGACAGCAAAGGAGCAATGTGCAGTTCGGACAAGTTCTGGAATCTCAAGCTTTGCTCTGGCCTGTGAAGTGTATTCTCAAGACCAATCTGATCTCCTTTAGTCTTGCATTATGTCTGTTCTCTGCTCTGGCATTGCTGCCCTTAATGATCCATCTCAACAATATCTTTCAACATTTTCCATGGTTCATTGCAGCCTTTGTGTAGCAACTCAAAAATTCACTTTTTGAAAGTGATGGACAGAAAAAATTTAATTTATGTGATATTCAGACTCCATACTAGTAAGACTGAATCAACAATGGCCAGACCTCTGTGAATTGCAAAATATCACTGTTGTTACTCTAAGATATTTGAGTGCTGAAGCAGATCATACTGTATTGCATGTCTTTCTTTTTTTAAAATTAAAAACCTAAACAAAACAAAAGCAAAAAAAGAGGAACTCTGGCATAAAGCACATGTATGGGCTGTTTGGGACTCTCACAATTTTTTGAAATTGAAAGGACTAAAAGCTTTGGAAACCATAGTTTGTGATTTAATCATTCAGGCAGCTGTTCCAGAGGGCTAACATATTTTGCCATGTACCAGAGCAGTTCCAGAGATAAAGAGCCATTCAGAAAAGCCTACCATATCAGAAACCCTACTGTTAGATGCAGTTAAAATAGATTCTTTTACTAGGAATTAGTGAAAATGACGAAATAGAACATTTAAGTGCATACATCCATCACAGTACTTTTAATCCACGAGATAAATATAGACTCGTATTCAACAAAATATCAGTCTAAGATTTTTATTCCAGTAGCTTGGTCTACAGAAATTGCTTTTAATCACAGAGGCTTTATCCTTTAAGCAGAAGGCTGTGGTTTGTTTTCTTGAATCTTAGGAGCCTGCTTTTTCTTCTGCCTTATTCCTGTTATTCCTAAGTAGGTCTAGGAGCAACAGGCTATATTTTTGTTGGAACACTATTATAATTTGCTTTATGATGGGGGAAGGAGCATGTGTTGCTTTGTCCTGTGGGTAGGAATGTCTTAATGCTGTTGTTTCTCTTTCAACATTTTCCAAACTTCTGCTTGAAAAGAGTCAGCCACATCTTATGAAACACACTTTCTATATAAATAGTACATAACATACCTTATTTGGCTCTGGTTTAAAACCATTGCCATTCTGTGATGGCTGCAATGGAGTCTCAGATGCACACTCATGCACATAGCACAATGGAGGGTTGGGAGTACAGTGGCATACTGTCCCAGAATGCAAGGCAAGATGTATTCTATTTGCCATCTGTTAGAGGTGTGGCAGTTATACTCTGTTAATTGCGCAGTTTTTCTTTATCTCTTCCACAACCAATCCTCCTTCCGGAGAGACATCTGCTGATAGTGGGCTATTGAGTGTCACTGCATGACTGATAAGAATTACAGCAACCTATTGTGAGACACTCTACCCAGAGGGAGGAGCCAAGCATTCCCACCTAGATATAATCTGAGATCCTGGGACAGCAAGACAGCTTCTCCACTGGATTTCCCAGAGGAACAGCTGCCTCTTCCACTGGATTTGCAGAGGAAGAATACACCCTTCTACAGGATCTCTTCTCCAACAGAACCACACCTGATACTCCAGGAGGACTGCAGCTACAATTCCAATTGGACTGCTACCAGCACCCTGACCAACAGGGTGTCAGGTTGTATTCTGACTGTCAGTGTTGTTTTGGTTTACAAAATTGTTTATTTTATCTTTTAATTTTCTTCCCTAATAAAGAGCTGTTATTCCTGCTCCAATATTTTTGCCTGAGAGCCCCTTAATTTCAAATTTATAAAAATTTGGAGGGAGGGGGGTTTACATTTTTTCCATTTTAGGAGAGGCTCCTGCCTTCCTTAGCAGACACCTTTCTTTCCAAACCGAGACACAAACAAACCTGTTATTCATAATAAATGTATTTTTTATTAAGCTAATACTGAGAAAACAAGGTTATTTAGCTATTTGGTCCTTTTTTAGTCCCTAAGAATGCCTGTCCATTTGAAGACCTGTTGCATAGCCCTTCACAGGGATTTTGCACTCCGTGTACAAATGCTCTAGAGACAGGCTTGTGATTTGTATCAGCTTGAAGGTTTATACCAAGCTTTCGTGTTGTTACACTACCACTACATGCCACTGCCAAGACAGAGCAACACGAAAAGACTAGCAAGCTGAATGAGATTTGGGAGGAGCAGAGCCCAGCACACCCAAGGCAGGAGCCAGCCACCACTTTGATACATGATGAAAACGCCAACCAGTGCTATTTTGATTGTCAGGCTATAAAGTACCTACGGCTACTACTTGTGAACAGGTTTTCTTCCCAAAGCAGGAGCCTTAAAATGTTTACTCCTGGATGTTACTGTGCAAGGAATGGTAGCAGCTGAAATGCTTATGCAGGAGGAAAATTAGGTCATGTGCAGCCAGATGTCCTATGCTTACAATCACAAATCCAAACTCAGGAGCAAACATGTTGTTATTTTTCCTGTGATCCAATTTGAAAATGCTAACAGTTACTTTTATAATATTTTGGCTTGATTTTAAAACCTTTTGCTTACATTTTAGCATGGAATGCTAATGTAAAACTATGCACAACAGTTTGGACCAAAAGTAAGAAATCAATGTACATATCAGGACAACAAAGACATAGAAGGAGTTCATCTGGCATCATACTGCTTCTCTTAGCACATGTATTTAGGACATGCTGAGTGGCTTCACTGGATGCTACTTTCTACAGCAGAGTTGTTAGTCACAGAAGCATTTCTCTAGGCAATGCAATTCATTTCCTTCAGCACTGAATACTGGCCATAATGACCAATGTGTGGTAGGACAAACTGCACAGTTTCTTTTATGTCTTCAAGGAAGAGAGGTTTCACACAGGAATCAGCTGGTTAATTGCCACAAATATTTGCATTAAACTTTTCAAAGACGTCCACACTGTTTACTGGGGAAAAAGAAAAAAAAATCTGATTTAGAGGAAACAACAATAAATTATGTTTAGCAACAGACACAATTCAGCAGGTCATTTTCTTTGCAAACATTCAAAGCACACTGTAAATTTGACTGCACGTCACAGATAATTGAATTACAGAGTATACACAGCACTGATGTATAAATCATGCTTATCTGACAGCTCGGGGAAACTTGCTCTGTTGCCATCACCAAAGCCCAGTTTCAAGAAATCCCTCACATTCATCCACATTGCTTAGGCATAAGTGAATTCCCCTGCATGCTGGACTTCTACAAATAATTAGAAGCTTGTGCTTAAATTTAAGCACAAGGTAAACAAATTGTATTTGCTGAGATTACTGATACAAGTAGTTCCACAGCAGCATCAGTTTGGGCCCAATAGCCACACCCAGGAGAATGGCTGAACATATCTACTCAGGCATGCTCTGAGCATCAACTTAGGGCTTTATCTGAGGATTTAATCCATTACTACTTCCTCTATCCCTTCACAAAATAATCAGTAATTTTTTTTAAAAGTTAACTAGGTAGTGATTTGATTCACACATCAATGTTCTTTTAATTTCATTTTCTTTGCCTCGAATTCCTTAAAAAGTATAATGTGTTTTAATGCAAAGTCAGAGTTAAGCTTCATACTCCAAAGTGTTTACAATCAAAACACCAAAAAAAAAAAAAAAAAAAAAAGGAAGAAAGAATAATTCTTTCCGACTGGGAATGCAGTGTGGTTCTAGACTTGTAAATTGGACAAATGACAGCCAGTAATCTTTCAGCATCAAATAGTAAAATATTTCATAAATCATTTTCCCCCTGCCAACAAGATCAAATTGAAACACAATAAGAGGCCCTTTTGTAAACTTGTGTTGCTATACTTATAACAAGTAATTTTTTTGTCAAAAAGAGTACAAGCAGTTTAAGCAGAATTCAGTGAACCTGTACACTAGTAGGAGATTAATCTATTTTTTAATCTATTTTAAATTTATTACATCAAAGATGTTTCCTACAGCTTGCCTTCCCTGCCACCCCCACACTTTTCAGTTACAATCTCTGCCTTCATTAATTGAGTTGGCTATAGAAGGTATGTGTTGTCTAAATCAAAATCTGGAATAGCAACAATTTGTAGGGTTGTCAGATGTTTACAAGGAAAAAAAAAAAGATTCCTAACTCAACTGCCTTGTCTATACCACAGCATTTATGTGTTCCAGAACAGAAAGGATTTCTTGGTAATTTGGTTTTCTGATGTGGTACTCTGAGGTACCCTTAGCTTTCAATTTGAGCAAAAATAAAAACCTTGAGAGGCACATGCTTGCAACTTATCTGAAAATTAAAAAAAATAAACAAAGCCACATGAGAAAGACACTAGCAAATAGAAAGAATATTATATTCAGTATTTTTCATTGACACAAATTGAAAGTGCAGAGAGACTAATAATGAAAGAATTTATTTAAAATAAAACAGTCTATGGGACAATAATCCAGAAGTCCAGTAGACACATATAATTTAAACCAAATAACCAAAGAATGATTTTTGCTTGGAAGAAAGCTACAACTCTCATGTCTTTATCCAGTTTGCATGGGACTAAGATAAAGCTATAAGTAAATACACAGTGTGACAATTTATATAGGATTTGCTCCCTAGCCTCTAAAAGATGCCAGCAGTGGTTCCCAAAACATAATAAATACCTCAACAAAGTTTTGTTGTTGTTGTTGAGAGAAGAAATACAAATTCATCATAACAGTGCATGTGCATTTACCACATGCTGCAATTGCCACTAACTGTGAACAAAAGAAAGGTGAAGAGCAGAAAATCACATGCTGCAACTGTACTGTGTACCTTTAGGGTTCTTTACCAACTTCTTCAGTTGTCTTCTCCTCCTCAGAAACTGCAAATGGAGACAAAACACCAATGAGAAACACTGGAAATTATTTATTCAATGACAAATAGTCAAGTTGTTTCCCTTAGTCCAAAGGATCCTTGGACTAAAGGGATAGAATTTACAAAGCTGTATTAGGTATGCTGACATTTTTCCTTTTAGCTTTTTTATTCTAATTTTAAAAGAGTTTAGAGGCCAAACTTCTAAACTTCATCCTAAAATCTACAAAGTAATGATTTTAACACACATTTTTCTTTGCATTCAATTACATCATTCAACTTCAATAGCAATATGAGATTATTTATAATTGCATCAAAACACTGCAAGCTTTATTCATACCACATGCACTATATTTTTCTTGACACCAATGTGATTTAGGAAAATTCTGTCTTTCAAATCAAGACAGATGTTGAAAAAATGTGTTATATGCAGCACAAGGAGAATTTTCCTTTCTTAATGAAGTTCACGTCCAGCCACTTACTGAGCAGAGCACTGAGCTCACCACACTGCTGCAATCAACTTTAGCAACCTACTTCTACTGCACCACACATAATTTGAAAATTAGATTTTCTGCTAACACTGTGATGCCAAACACAGCCATCATGGGCAGCCACACTGCATCACTTGAGTTCTGCATGCTCTTGCAGCTGGTTCAGTGCACACAGCCGCCAGCACTTCACAGACACAAACATTTCAGACCCAGCTGGACTCTTGCACCCCCTGAAGTTCACCACAACTCCTCAGCATCGTTGTCCTGGCTCTTTGAGTCTGTATCAGAAATCTCTTGAGCTGCTGAGGCTACTCCTTCCTTGTCACTGTCTAAGTTTTCCTCATGGGCAGAAGAAGCTGCAAGATCCGAGACTTTATTCACAGTTTCTGTGAATCAAATTAGAAAGATAATTGTCTTCTCTTTCCATTCATCATCATAAATGAGGGCAAGCAACCAAGGCTCACAAAGCATGAAGTACCTGCCTAACATATATGTTTGAAGTAGCTGAAGACAACAGCATCTATCAGATGATTAAATTTTATCACACAAATAAAACTTTGCAAATGGAATTCCAAGGAAAGTCTGTCTCTTTCCAACCCTGGAACAGAAACCTATAAACTGGAGTTATTTTCGTGTATTTAGGCATAGGCAAATATTCTCTAATGTATATATTATCTCTTGCAGATACTGTTGCTTTTTTTTTCTTGTTTCTGTCAAATTCATAGGACATTACATCTACACTCCACCTAACCTTGGACGGACATCATGGGTAGTTTTAATGTAAAAATATTCTAGCATCAGGCTGAAGATTCAGGCTGCAACTCAGACTGTAATGGCCAACTAGCCATTTTTCAATACACCTTTAAGCATAAAGCAATCTGTCTCTATAAAAAGCCTGTAACAGGTAATATTTAGTAGTAGGAAGTCTCTATACAGATACACTCTGCAGGAAGACTCAACACATCATCCAGCAGTTGCACGTTAAATTTTACTTGAGTAGTTTCTCTCATACCCCATTCTTCTAACCTTCCGGTAAGAGGTCTCCATCATCACACTCTTTAACTGCTCAGTAGGAGGTTTGTCTCTTTCTTGTTTCATCCTATACATGTCTATTAAACACAGCAAGTAAACAGCTTCTTTAGGAGTTCAATAAATGCAGCAAATAAGAGTTTTATAGAGCTAGCATCCTCACTTTACTTTGCAGAATGCTTTCTGGATTTTGACGAAGCAGCAGAAAAAGAAATGCTCAGGAATTGGTACTTTTGCCTTTATAGGGAAAAGCTATGCAATAGAAATAGTACATTTGAAATTTGGAACTTTAGATATTTTGCAGCAAGCAAAACTTGATGTAATGCCATATATTCGCTATGTTAACAAGCTGCTAGGTTTCAGTTTGTAATGTCAAACATTCAGCTTATATTACCAAAAGTTCTTTCTCTGGCTGATACTATTTAATCTTTTTTTTTTTCTTGTGAGTGTTTTAATTTCTTTTGCACTAAGAAGAGTAGATCAGTAGGCAACTAGAGGGAGCACCATAGTTTTTTTCTGATTTTTAACAAAACCTCATTTCCTTTGGATGGGAATTGTGTTTATTTGTTTTCTACATTAATACCTGCCTTAAAACCAAACATTAACCACTTGTACTGAAAAAATTATCCCTGGTCTGAATTATTCCTTATGGCTATCAGAAAGGCAATCTAATGCAAAAAAATATGGATTCCTTCCAAGGTGTTAATCCATGTCTCTGTGGAGTAGCTGTCACTGCCTTAATTACAAAGGGTCTTGTGGCAGGCATTGCATTCTGAAAGCCCGTATTTGTAGAATGGGTGTAGTATATTTATATACAAAATTGCCCTTGATTAGGGCACAAATCTTGTATTTAAGTGGCTTTCTCATCTGTTCCTTGAGCACATGTGGCTGGAGCCCCCTTCCAGGTGCCTCAGGTCTTTTGGAGAAGAGAAACGTGGCAGTAGCTGGTGGTCCCAATGCACGTGCTCATGGCAGCCTGCACTGGGTCACTCTCCTTCAGGCCTTATCTCTAGCAAAGTCTCAGAGTGGCTGATGAAGATCATCTTGGCATTGGCTCTTTGTCATACTGCATGCTGTCCAAATGTCTTCTAGTGTTTTGGATTAGGAAACAGTCTCCAGCCTCCTGATGGCTACCCCAAGCATTCATTTGACACCAGCACAAATCCCTGGCATGAATGATGCCCTGGCAAACTGAGAATGAATCCCCTGCCTGTCTCAGATTTGAGACTGTCACGTGGGGTCCTTCTGCATGAGCAACATCAGACATACTGCCTGAGTCCTCACATCCTCCCCTGCTGATCAGCTCCTGGCACAAAGCATTACAAAGTTTAGGCATTTTTCCTTTGTTTCCCTGTTTTCCCATGCTATTCACACCCTCTCTCTCTCTCTCTTTTTTTTTTTTTTTAAATCTGCATGCATTTAATATTTTTTCAATCCAGTTTAATCTCTTGCAATTGCTCCACGTAAAATCCTGCAGTAACACCCTATTTCATGTAAAATATTTTAATCTCTGCCTGGTACAATGGCGATTCATTTTCCATAATCCTTGGATGAAGGATTTTCTGTCTGTTCAATTATTGTTAATAAGCCTGTCATGAACTCTGCAGCAAATAATGGATGTAACTGAAATCCACTCCTGACTTTTGTTAGTTCAAATACTAAAATATTAAGCTTCTTTATTTTTTCAAAATATTTGTAGAGGAGTTACAGCATCTTCACTTAGTTCTGTGTTGTTTCCTGAATGATGATTAGTTTGAAAATCTGAAATCCCTTCATTTCTTCATGCAGTGATGGTTATGATTCATTTTGTCTATTTATGCCAGATCTCTTACAATTTCCACAGGCTGTAAGTGAATAAAATAATCTGAATTGTCCAACTGCTTTTCTGCAATGAGGACACATGGTATTTAATATTATGCTTTCCACTGAATGCCCAGCTGCTTTATTATCCTTATAGAACAATACCACTCCAGCTCCTTGACATCTTTACAAAAACACCCACTTGCAGCATTCCTGCCAAATGAATCTCGGTCAAGGGATAATTCCATCCTGATCCATACAATTTAAAGCCTGCCAAAAATTATTTTGTTTCCCTTCATATTCACAAAAGTGGGGCTCATTGGACTCTTTCTTAATTCTCTGCACACACATATCCTTCATCAAAAGCATTGGAGTTAAATGGCTTCACAATTTTCCTGCTTCATTTGGTGTCCTGTGCTTCCCCTCCATCCTAGTAGGATCTATTACTCTACAGAATATCCAGAATATTACTCTACAGTATGGAGAAGGTATACTTCACAGTTTCATACAAGGTATTATATTGGTTACAAAAAAATCTCAGCCCCTGTGTATATATATATTTTTTTCTGAAAAGTTGATTTTTTTTTTTTTTTTTTTTTTTTTTGTTCTTAAGCTTTTTCACTGGTTATTTGTCAATTTTTAGCTTTCTCCTGGGATAAGTAGCTGCATCCCAGTATTGCTGGCTACAGGGCTACAGCTTTCTTCCATTTTGGCAGGCATTTATATATACCATAGCATTTACAGGTCTGAATTAGGACCTTAACTTTCCTGTGATTTTAACAAAAGACAATATAAAAGAACTTAAAGTCTTAGAGAAATTAAACTAATCACATTTAACTAACTCTAGTCAAGGGGCTTTGCACATTGCAACAATAGCTGTTGTCAAAGCACTCAGAAGGATTTGGACACACCAGGGATTTTGAGGGCAAGCATCCCCAAGGTTAGTTAGAGCCACAACACACATGCACTGCACAACCATCAGTGTATAGCATCTGTGTAATATTCATTGCTGATGTGCAACAAGGAATCCCAACCAGAATACTTCCTGCTCCTGCCCAGGGTAGCTACAGACACTCCCAGGCAGTCCTTAGCTCCTCTGCTTTAGGAGATAACCATTTGGAGAAGAAATGCATCCTCCCAAATTGCACTTGCAGGAACAGAACATGACTAGGCAACATTACACATGCTCCTAATGCAATACCAAACTATTTCTGTTGTGGAAACACATCTGGCTTGAGTTGAATAAATACAGTACAGGAAACTGATTTTACAGACAAATGAAAATTGTGGATTTGTTCTGAAATCTTGTATTTAATTGTTTGCTTCTTTTTTTTTTTTTTTTTTTTTTTTAATAAGGCATCAGATTTAGGAAGCTCCAGTAGCTTATTAGCAAAATATCCAACATTTCATCTAGAAATGTTTAGGAATTTCACCTAGAAATTTTTAGGAAACTATCCTTATAATTTCAGTGAAAGAAAATTCACCAAAAACTGCTTCCTATGTAAAGTAGTAATTCCTGCTGTCTTTAAAGACAATTTTTACAAGTGCTGAACTTGCAGCCCTGAGAGTGAGAGCAGAACTAGACACTTCTGTGCACGTACAGTAGAAGATGAAACAGTCCAAATACAGGGTGATTCTGCATGCTCATGGTGGTCAGTTTGAATTGTGTGAATATTTGTGAGCTCAGCAGAACAAAGTGACAAGATAAGCAGGTACTCGTGTGCCCTGTGTGACTGACTCATCTTTGCTGCAGCTGATAATAAAAAATAGCATGCCTAGATTGACTTTCTCCTGCTAATAATAAAGGAAACCCCATGCAAGTGCATTGACTTCCAGAACCCAGATCCTACTGCTTGCATAGCCTCTTCCCCACAAGCCTTCAAGCTTTTAAAACAAGTTTTCCAAGATTCCTGGGGCAGTTTTTATGCAGAAACAGCCTGGAGTTTTGTCTGGGATGTAAAGCCCTAATGCAAAATTTGGCCAGCTCACACTGGCAATCATGTCCTGCCACCTAGTAGAAAACATAAGATGACCTTGAAGCAAGGAGGTGGAAGAGATCCAAACCAATTTGTATATTATATTTTTTAATCTTACTGGATTTTAAACTTCTACCTTGTATTATTAAGTGGTTTTCTAAGTATGTTTTCCTGATTTACAATAGAGATTTAAAAGACAGCTGTTCCAGATTTTAAAATGAAAGCTATATTCAGCCTTCCAGCAAGACAGAAGTTTTATAATGAGGTTATACAAGATAACTCCAGCCTTCTCAGGAGTACAGCCTGTATTTCTTCCCTCAGTTTTGCATTTCCTTACCAATACATTTAAAGCTAACATATTTTGATCCTAATCCTAATTCTTTGATTCATTTAAAATGATCTTTCCAGTTAGAAACAACAACAAAAAAAATTTAATGAGGCACTGGTATCCTGAAATTTTTAAAGATATTTAAAAATACACTTTTCTGAGTGAATCACTTTACTTGAAGCAGTATCCTTCATAAGATGATTTTTTTTTTCCTAGGCAGTCAAGATGAGGCTGGTATCTGTAATGCCAAACA